ATATATATATATATATATAATATTAAATTTCTATTGTTATTATAAAACAGTGTATACTATTACTATAATAACACTATTATTACTAATGGGAGAATATTTAATAAAACAAAAAAAGCGACGAAAATTATAAGCTAAAATATATTACTGAAATCTATTTCACAACTCGACTTTAAAATATATAACAATTGTTATTGACTCATTGACAAAATTATTACTTTCAGTAACTGCAGACAAGAAAATTCGGAATTAATTCCGCTACAAGAATTTCCGAAGAGACACCAAACTAAATTTCGCGAATGGACTTCACAAAAAGTGACAAGGAATAACTCTCCATGATAAAAATAATTTCGACTTTTCATCGGTACAAACCACACAATCATTGGCATCCATTTGACGTGACGGACAACGATAAAGTCTTTGCATATAATAAATTGATTACTACCAAGTTTGGCGACACCATCGTAAAGGATGGACTCACCACCGTGCATGAAACTAGCGTGATCGAGACTGATATCAATGGAAAATACGCCCAGGTATTGTAGAGCTCATCAAGAATCTTAACAGTACCGGTTGCACCAGTAACTGACGATAAGATTCGGCCCTCCAGTACCAATCGCATCCTGAAAACTATTGATCCTCAGCATGGCAAGCTCAAACCACAGCTGGAGCCCACTCCAACCCATCAGCAACAGAACGAATCTTCGCTGTCCTTAGAGGCTCTCTTCAACGAACCTTCCGGTGTGTATTTTATGATAATTTTTATAAATTTTATGTTGAGTTTAAATTCTTTTTTGTAAAATCTAATAGTAAATTTGTTAAATTAAATAATACAATAATATTTTTTAATAAAAATGTTAGTGTTTTATATACTATAAGAAATATAAAGCTATCTCATAACATTTTTTCTCATGGTATACAGAAATTTTTTAATCTTTAAAAACAAAAGATTTTATATATTTTTTTAACTTTTTACCAGTTCCAAAAATTTTAGTTTATTTCACTTTCAAAATAATACAATTTGTAACGTGTGATAATAATTAAAAGCTAAAAAGTATTAATTAATGACTTCAATTGTCGCATTGGACGATATTAAATCAGTGCAGTAAATAGAAATCAATATAGAGAATTAAAACTCTATATTAATTTTCTTATTCTCAATAAAATTTGTAACAGACATAAAATTTTTCTAATAATCCTTAAGAAATAGATTGATTAATTTTTATTCCATTGAACACTCCAGTACGATCGACGCGAAAGCTATCGACTTCCAATAATTTAACCAGGTCCAAATTTCGAAACAAGATTGTCGATGAATACGATAACAGCGAACCACAACAAACGAGGACCGGGAAGAATCGCTCCAGCACGACTCGACCAAATTATAAGTGAGTGTTAACGGAATAGCACAATTAAAAAAGCAAATTGATAAATAATTTATCTGCTTTCTTTCTATTTTATCAATCATTAATTTTATCATGCTGTCTTTTTCTTATAAGTTAGAAAACATAATACAATAATTTGACGCGAAGCTGTTCTCTTTTATAATCATCTCTCTCCTCAGAAATCGTCCCGCAACTACCACTACTGAAGCGCCCATCACTCGCCGTCGCAGCGGTTTTCGGCCGAACATTCAATTCCCTAATTCACTCTCGAAACAGTTGACGAAGTCAAAGAACAGCGATCAGCAGTCGTCAACGACGGTCAGTTTTCTGCCCAAGGTGAAGCTACCGAGCACGCAAGGTCGCTGGTCGTATAAGACCACGCCGAAACCGAGAATCATTATTTGTAAGCAGGTGGATGAAGAAGATTTGCGAATGTCGACAACTGAATCAAGTACAACAGAGTTGGTTCCCGGGGCAGTCTTTGATGAGCAAGGCAAGACATCAGCAACGACAAGGCATCAGCGACGGCAACGATGATCAATGTTGCTCCGATCTGATCTAGCGGCACCAATGTTGCCCAGAGGAAAGAACTGTCCTTGACGGAGGACGAGTTAGATCCCAGTGAAAGCGAAGACGTGACTAGTGTCAGCATGCAACAGAATCAGCAGCATCCTGGAGAACAGATTCTACCAGTAGAAACGCTCAACGTGGAAATCTTTACTGCGGCAGATTTCGACAATGTATACTTCTTCGAACAACAGATATTTTATTACATTGCAGTACATTTGCAGTTGGATTATGGAAAGAGAATAATTTATTCTCGATACATTTTTAATATTCTCTGGTGAATAGTCTTTATTGCACGGTTTTTGCTTTATTTCTTAGATATATCAATTGTTACGCACACAATTCATCTATATATATATATATACATATATATATATCTTAGATACACAGTGAGAGCAAAAAGTTCGTACAAAGAAATTTTTTATAAAAAAATTCCTATTTATAGAAAATAAATATTAATTAGCAGTTTTATACAATGAATACATTCTGTTCTAACATAAACAAACGAGCTTTGCATGTATTTCTGCTAAATTTTTCGACTGTACGAATATTTTTTGAGTATCCAAACAATGGAATTTTTAATTTTTGCTTATTTTTCAGATGATATATTTTCTATAATTAATACACATCTTTTTGGTATACATAATTTTAAGAAACATAAAATCTATTTTATTCTTTATGAATAAATTGTTAATTACCAACAAGAAATGATCAACGTCGAATCGACGTCAAATTGTTGTTGAAATCATCTTATCGATATCGATTCGACATCAATTCGATGACTCATTTCTCGCTGGATAATATTTAATTTTTTAAAATAGTTTTTTAAAAAATATTTTCTCTGTACGAATACTTTTTGTACTCACTGTACCAATTATGGCCTGATAAAAATAAAAATGGGAGCATAAGTCGAATGTAATGGGAGAATAACAGAAGCATAAACGAAACTTCTAGAAGGTGAAAATTAAAACATCAAAATGTAAAAGAAGCGAAAATGCTTCTTTTACATTTCATTATTCCAATTTTCGCCGTCTAGAAGTTTCGTTTACGCTTCTGTTGCTCTCCCATTATATTCGATATACGCTCCGATTTTTATTTTCATCAGGGATTTGATAACTTTATAATAAGCAAAATAAATTTGGAATGTAAGAAGCAGAATATTTGGCACCAATCTATGTTATAAAATAAATTATATTTCGATTGGCATATAGCCTTGCTACGTGTTTGTGCCGTACACTATTATTTCATTATCAGAAACAAAATACATACGTCAAAATCATAGATATATATAGAATACAGGGATTACAAATTATTGTTTTATTTCAATTAGTATCATATTTTTAACTTTATAGTACTTAGAATTCAACAAATCTCGCATATTACATTGTAAATTTAAATATATAATTTACAACAATATCCACTTCTTTGCGGTGCTCCTGATAGGTATGGAAATAAATTACTGAAATCGCTGAAATAAATCTATCAAATTAATAGAGATTTCAATGATTTCAGCGATTTATTTTCATCAGGAGCATAAAAAAATGGATTTTGTTGTGTAATTTACACTCACCTCTTCAGAGGGCAATAATGCGCGAGGGCATTTTGCGGTTATAGGAAAAAGGCCCTCATGCCTTACCCAATCAGCAGACAATGTTTTTTAAATGTTTTTTAAACGTTTATTTCTCATTAATTTTATATTTTTCACGATTCGTTTTCAAAATTCATTAATTTAACGTTTATTTAACGTATATTAAATGTTTATTTTACATTATTTATTCATTTAAAATGTGGTGATAAGAAACATTTATTTCACATTAATTTGACGTTTAGTAAATGTTCATTTCAGATTAATTATTTGTTTGAAATAATGGTTTAAAGAAATATTTATTTAATGTTTATTAAATGTTTTTTAACGTTTATTTAACGTTTATCTGACGTTTATTATAAACATGTAAAAAATGTCATTATTTTCTAAAACTCAAATTAATAAACAATGTGTCGGAATAATAAAATAATCACGGAAGATAAGTTAACAACACAATATAATTGCGTTAAGTGTATTATAATATGGAAAATAAGAACTGTATGTATCGACAGTTATAATTAAGTGGCGTAATGGATAAAATACGAGACTCATAATCCTGAGGTTCAAAACCCAGCCGGTAAGTGAAAAAGATTGAAATATATTATAATTAAAAATTTGAATTTATTAATAAAATTAGTTGTCTAAGGTTGTAGTTGATAAAAAAAATAAATTAAAAAAAGATTCTACATTGCTATTTTTTATAATTTTGTTTAAATAATTTTAACATTAAAAAACGTTTTTTAACGTTAAAAAAATTTTTAACGTTAAAAATTTTAACGTTTCTTCAAACGTTAAAATAAACGTTTTTTAATAAAAAAAAAAGATGACTTAATTCATTATTTTTAACGTTTTTAAAAATGTTTTTAAAAACATTGTCTTCTGATTGGGTAGGAGCCTATCCCATAATAGACGACTTTACCCTACTACATTATACTCATTCGTTACTAAAAAAAAAATAACGAAATTAGTAACTTTGTTATTTTTTTATGTAACTTATACAACCCTAATCTTTTATATTGTATAATCGTTAGTTGTAAAAAAAAATAACCAGTGTAGATTCTTTAATAATATGCTGTAAGAAAGGAAAAATATAAAAAATTATATAAAACCATCAAATTTTGTCTTTTTTTTCTTTAATTGTTTGTTCGGATAAATTTAATTTTTAACTTTTTAATTACTTTCTTTATTGACTTAACTTCTAATAATAATAAAAATAACCAAGCCCATCAAAGCCAACATCCAGTTGTTCGGATGTAAATTTCGGATTACATCCGAACAACTGATGTTGGCTTTGATGGGCTTGGTTATTTTTATTATTATTGATAGATTCTTTCAAGCCTTTTTTTAAATATTTGTTAACTTCTAATGCAATTAATTTACATTATGGATGAACTGTACCGTAAATAAATTAAATTTTCAAAGCTGTTAACTTTAACTAATCAACTTAGTTTAAAAAAAGTTAACTTATATTCAACCCTGCTAATTACTATTAACTCTTTTAATTGGCTGTTGAGAAGCATTGCGCTTGGCGACGATGTATTTGCGACTTGTACGTAGACCACACTATTGTCACAGTATATACCTATTGTGCTATTGTCATCGTGACCATGATAAAAAGACAAGGGTATGCTCATGCGCATGACCAATCAGATTTTTGTCCTCGTTTACGTCACGAGTGGTAATTTTAAAAATACGAACAGCATTAATGTTAAAATTTTCTGTTAATATGTAAATATATTACATAACATTTGATATAAATTTACAACTAACTCTGCTTTCGACATTCAAATGAAAACAAAATAAATACACAAAAAATTTAATGAATATAAAAATTAATGAATAAAAAAAAATCAAATTTTAAATAATAGCTTTTTAAATGATAAAACAAATAAATATAAGACACAAATGGATATAAAATAACAACACTTAATTTACAATTTACATTTTTTATTAGTAAATTTCAACTTTGGATTCAATAAAAGCCTGATTTGTCCTGGAGTAAAAATTGTCTTCAGTAGGTCATGCATTCTGCGATCAAAGCGTTGATCTTCTGTTTCTATTCTTTGCTCAAGATTGTACAATTTCTTTTTTAATGCAGCATTCTCGAGTAGAATATCTTGCCTGAAAATATAAAATAATACCTGTAAGTATACAATTACACATTTGCTATGTTTTATATACTAAAATATCTATATTTTTATTTTATATATTTAAAGCACACTAGTAACCAAGTAAATATTCGAATCTGATAGTATTTTACTTAATCTGATATTTTTATATTTTAACATATTTACATAAATATATTTATGTTAAATATAAATATAAAAATTTTATTCATTAAGTTTGTTGGATTGTGCTCGATGAAACTTACATATTAGAAGGCAGAGCTCTATGGACTACATCTGTATCAAGTGAAGCATCACCGGATACTGGCAAAGGCACTACTCCAGAAGGAAATGTTTCAGCAGCCAATGAAGCATCGCTAAACATCTGTGGAGACACTTCTTGATAGCATGTGTCTGCGACCGATACTGGCAGAGGCACTGCTGTATGAAAGGCTTCTGCGGTGGTTGAAGCATTGATATCACATGACGAACCGAGCACCTCTTCGGGTACAGAAGCAATCATTGTTAAAGGAAGATACAAAGTAGGAATAGCATCCGAACGTAACTTTTTCGCTCTAGCAGGAGAATAGTTCAACATTTGTTGTTGTAAAGGCTTTACAAAGCACGCATCTTCAAAATGTTTAGAACATATCTTACCTATACAAACAAAAATGTCAAATTAACTAAAATTATTAAGTACGACAGTATATAATTTTTATAACAAGAATTGTACAACTTACCATTTTGAACATTTACATTATCTTTTCCGCACGCTTTACGCCACTGTTCAGCAATTTCAGATTGTTTTGGAAAGGTAAAATATTTAATTTTACTTCCCTCAATTTTTTTTGTTTTTTTCATATAATTGCCGCATCCTTTCACTATGCAGGTCATCGTGAAAATATTTTTAACATTAACTTCTATCGATGACAACGTGCACTACGCCATGGACGCCATGATAAATTACGACCGATAACCACCGATTGCACCCGAATCAGAACCGACCAATCAACGCATACCCGAATATGACGTAGGCAAGGACATGCGCAAGCTGAACGAATTTTAGACAATTGATGAGCATACCCTTGTATTTTTATCATGATCGTGACAAGCTTCCACTTCTATCGTGGAAAACTATAGCTAACATCAGCGTTCTGCATTTCGCGGTATCGACAGTATTAATACGTTTGTTTTCATCTATATCCGGAATATTTCGGTAGTGATTTGTTATAAATATTTAAAAATAGCTATAATTATGTTTATGGAATTATGCGTAAAAATTAGTGCGCGATTATGATCTATAACTAATAAGTAAATATTGTGTTACCTAATCTAACCTAATCTAACCTAATCTGTACCGAGCACGTGAGCTCGGTTGTTCGATGAAGTTGAAATTTGTATTTACATATGTGTCGATAGCTCGGATTAATTTATATAAATTTGAATGAACGTCGCAATTGGGATGGCTCAGCGATTAAGCAACAAAGCAAAGCTGAAATCATTATTGACCGTAACCAGTAGCGCAGTCGCTCTGTTTGGTGGCATTTCTCTCTACCAGGGCAACGAAAGATTTTACAGTGACGTCGCTGTACCTCTGGTGCAACTGATAGATCCGGAAATCGCTCATAAACTCGCTGTGATAACTCTGAAATATGGCCTCGTACCAAAACAAAAAACAAATGATCCTACCTTACTCCAAACAACTGTATTAGGTTTGCAATTTAAAAATCCAATTGGTATGGCTGCGGGATTCGATAAACAAGGAGAAGCAGTAGAAGGATTGCACAAGATAGGTTTTAGTTTTGTGGAGATAGGTAAAATTTATACAATAGTATAGGCCTAGACTTCAATATTTTTAGATAACAATCTTATCTTGCTTTCTTGCAGGTTCTGTGACACCTAAACCTCAACCTGGTAATCAAAAACCTAGAATTTTTAGATTACCAGAAGATAATGCAGTTGTAAATCGATATGGATTTAACAGTGATGGTCATAATATCGTTTGGGATCGCCTCAAGAGATTAAAGGAGAATAAAAATTTTGATGGTATTCTTGGGGTGAATTTAGGTAACAACAAGGAGACAAAAGATGCGATTCAAGATTACATTGATGGCATAAAAAAATTTATGGATGTAGCAGATTATTTCGTTATTAATGTTTCTAGTCCTAACACTCCAGGTTTAAGATCTTTGCAAAACAAGAAGAATTTGGAAGAATTACTGACCAGAATAAACGTAGCAAGAGAATCAGTGGGTAGTAAACAGCCATTACTTTTAAAATTGGCTCCAGATCTGTCGGATTCTGAGCGACAGGATGTGGCAGACGTAGTTTTAAATAAGAAGTCTAGAGTCGATGGTTTAGTTTTATGTAATACCACAATTACGCGAACAAACTTGATTAATCCAAACAAGCAAGAAAGTGGAGGCCTCAGTGGTGCACCTCTCACAGATATTTCCACAGCTATAATATCTGACATGTACAAACGAACGCGTGGCAGCATCCCAATTATTGGCGTAGGTGGTGTTTTCTCTGGAGCTGATGTTTATGTCAAAATAAGAGCTGGTGCTTCGCTGGTGCAACTTTATACTTCGTACATATATCACGGACCACCAGTAGTTGGTAAAATAAAAAAAGAATTATGTGAAATACTTGAAACCAATGGTTTTTCTTCTGTGACTGATGCAATAGGCAAGGATGTTGAGAATAAATAGATGTTTTAATTCTAATGTATTTATATATACATAAATAGTACACATTCAATGTAATTTATGCAAAATCTGTAGGTAAATAATATTTTATGTATATGAAGATGCCTTTCCGAGTCAAACACTGGTAGTTCGTGTGTAAATGAATTTATTCTTAGATGTGTTCAGTCTTTTCACACGATAACTTCGTATTTTCTAATCTCAACATTATCATCGTTCCGGGAAGAACAATGATATGTTGTGGAATTGTATACATTGATAAGGATCCGAAGCGAGGATTGAAACGTTTGTTAACAAAATTATCGAATAAATTCATTTACACACGAACTACCAGTGTTTGACTCGGAAAGGTATCTTCATATACATAGATTTATTCAACTGCGTCTAATTATACTATCTATATAAATAATATTTTGTTAATAATTGATATTGTTATAATTGAATGAGAGTTTTCACTATGTTTGTATTAAATCAGCAGTCTTGTGTACTGTCTCTATTTATGTATATTTATTTCGAGCTCATTTCCAGCTCACTATGTATGTATAAAATTTCTAGAATTATGTTATATCCCCTTGATGTTGTACAACTTCAGTAAATATAATATCACATATCTCTAAAAATAGGGAAAATATTCAAAGTGAACAGAGTTATTGTTCCATCATGTATATATTATATGTATATATATATGTGTGTGAGTGTGTATGTGTATATACAGGTGAATCAGAGTAGTTGACCAGTTTTTTACACTACGAGAAAATTATCGATCTCGTACTTAATTATCGACTTATAGCGATACAGATCAGATGCGTGGGTACATCGTTCGAATTGCTGGTCTGGGCGCACTCTCTGAGAAAAAGACGCATTTTTAATATCTTGTAACAATTTTCACAACTCAACGTCAAACAAGCCTGTTTTCGCGTTCAAACCAACAATTCTCACGATTAGATATGAGGTCAATAATTTTCTCATAGGATAAAAAACTGGTTCAACTCTGATTCACCGTTGTGTGTGTGTGTGTGTGTGTGTGTAATCAGTTTAATAATAAAGGTAATTTGTTTTCTTCATATATGTAAAAAGTAATCGTCATAATTATTTATAATTGTATATTTAAATATATGCAGTATGTCAATATGTATGTACAACAAATAATAGTTGTAGGAATTTTATTTTGATCACCGCGATTAGAAAAAAAAGCACATGTGATATGATACAAGTGCGTAAAAACTGGTTTTAATAATTTTAATGGTTTAATGTTTACGCGGATTGAAGTATACATTTTCGTTTTACATAAATATTTATACGATATATATTTGTATATTTATGTTATATATATATATATATATATGTTTTAGAATTATAATTTCTTTAATATATATGTATATTAGAAATTAAAAAAATATATTATGTAAAATGAAAATATTTATACATCATCCGTGTAAACATTTGTCATTAAAATCAGTTTTTGCGTCAGCTTGTATTATATCAGTCCTGTGCTTCTTTCTAATTGCGATGACCAAAATAAAATTCCTACAAATATTTGTTATGTATATATATGATGGCATACTGCATGTAAACACACAATTCTAGATAATTGTGACGATCATTTTTGCATATGAAGGAAACAAGATACAAATCATCGATACAAATTACACTGAACTGATTTATTATTGCAATGTAACTAATTTTCATGTCGGTTCAAGCTATTTATCATCATTAAATTAATTTCTTTTCTTTTTCTTACGTTAGGCCTCTATCCTATACGTTTCTCATATGCTTGTGGTGCGCATACTAATTATTCAATTGCCACACGAGCATATTAAATTAATTTATAACTTACAAAGATAAAAGTTCTTTTAATCAAATTAAATTTATAACAATTATATAAATAAATCCTTGATACGCCAAAAAATCTTCATACGATTGATTGAAGAAAGAAAACAAGTAGAAAAAAAACCTTTAAATGTGAAGAATTGACTGCGTTCAGCAGAAATAGCAGCTGCTATTTATATTAAAAAATATTACAATAGTTCCTAAGTTACTTTGTTTTGCTAAATGCAATCATTCTGCTGTATTGGTTCGCGTCGCCTCCGCAGTTTTAAATTCTCGCGGGTCGTTCATGCGTAATGTCGATCATCGTCGCCGGGTGGCGCAACTATCGCGCGTATCAAAGTCGTGATCGTTGCGATCTACTTCAATGATCAATCTATTTCAGACTCCTTTCCGCAATGCCGTCGTAATCGGAGCAGTCAGCTGTTGTGTCGAAGTGAACATCCTTAACCAACAAATTGTGCGGATAGTCGGCCAGTTTTATACGATCCGGGTGACTCTAGACGAGCCGTGCTTATCTCGGCGATCGACTGGCCTGCATTCGACAGCACGGCGAAGGTACGGTTTTCCTCGGCAATGGTGAGCACGCATTGTCCATCGTGGGAGAGACCGAGTCACGGTCTCTCGGCACCTTCGCATTTGCATCAGCGAATGCCAGTCATTAGGCGCACGAGCCACGAGGCGCGTTCTCGAACGGAGATAAGACGTAGGATTTTTTACGAGCCGCGCCTTATCTCGAGCACCTCTCTCGTTGGAGAGCGAAAAAAAAGGAATAAGCGCATACTCTGTCATCCCGCGGCATTCGCTGACGCACGTTGGCGACGAGTAAACAGAATCATCGAAAGTGCGAGTTTGTCAGCATATTTTTTTTTACCATCTCTGTCGTACGTACGTACGCACGTTCGCTCGATCACGCAGTAGCAATCGTTCGACACAAGAACGCGAGATCTCGAGATCCGAGACAGTCCGCGTGACGGTATTTCATTGCCGTGATCTCCCGCTGCGTCTTTGATGACAGATCTCCCGCGATGGACGATGCCACGTTTAAATCGTCGCAATAGAGATGTCTAAATGAGCTACGTCGTGACTAATTCCGATCCGATTGTGCGGCTAATTCCGATTATAACAAATCGTCGAGCAGTAATTTTTTACGAATTAGCGAATTTAAATTTATTGATCCAGCGGAAATTTGTCTTGAACGAATGTGAAAGTATATAAAGCTGGCTTAATTTTATGATAGCGATTCTGTATTGAAATCAGAAAATACGGGGGTGACGTCATCGTCGTCGTAAG